GCTTTTCTTAGCAGTTTCACATCCACTGCAACACGGTTTTAGTGGTGTCCATTGGACACACTAAAATATTCCACAATACAAAAAGAGAAGAGTTGAGTATTCCATTTTACTGTTCTGCCTGAATGGATGCACTGGAAAAAGAAAGGGGGACAAAATGGGCAATTATTCACAACTCGTCTTTCTGTATCCATAAGATCCCTTATAATTGATAAGAGGTATATTCTATTTTAAGAGTTGCTTTTTTTTCCTGAAGCTATGAAGAAGGTGATTTTGAAAAAGCTGCTGAACTCTACAAAAGGGCAATGGAAATAAAAGAAGCAGAAACATCACTGCTGGGTGGAAAAGCTCCTTCACGACATTCATCCAGTGGAGATACATATAGCCTAAAACCTCACTCTCCTAATGTTTTCCTAAACAAGGACAAAGATAATAGCAGATAACAATTCTTTGACATTAAAACATTGGAACGTTAGAATTTGAAACTTTAAAAAATGTTTTTAAGGATTTTTTTATACCACTTTGTATAATTTAACTGATATTTATATGAAATCGTATCATAGTTGTTTAAAAGAATATTCCTATCACATGAGATCTGCATCCAAGGATGTAGACTGAGAATTTGAAGACAGCTTGAGGAGAGGATGTGTCTTTGTTCAACAAGAACTGGCAGAACAGTTAAGTTGAAGAATTACCTGATTCCTTTCCACTCTCAAGAGCTACTTTAGCCTCCCCCTTCTGTCTCGCTTTTCAGCAGTAGTCTGGCCCGATGCTCTACCTCAGAGGAAAGTTTCAAGGATTAAAGGGATAATGTTTATGAAATATTTGAATTGTCTTCAGTAAAACAAATGAGTCATAAGAATCCCTGGCTGCCATATTCTTTTATATTCTTTTTTATTCAACCTTTTCTTTGAGCAGATTGGGCCAGTCCCTCTGCTTTCTGTACTCTCTCTCCGTTGTATATTGTTTGTTACTGTCTAGAAGATATCTGCATGTCTGAAGTCCTTAACATGGTAGTAACAGCATTCTTTGACTTTTCCCAAAATATAAATGACATTCTCCTGTATCTTCTTTATTAAATGGTTTAAATCGGTCTCTTCGTTTACCTCAGTCTGCCATGTTTATGCTGAAAATTAAATATTCTTTATGTGTTTTATAAATAACCACCACATTTTGGATATTGTTTTATGCCATTTGTGTATTTAAAAATCATCAATTTTAATACAGTCACCAAGTTACGAACAAGATAGGTTCTGTAGGTTTGTTAAGTTGAATTTGCACGTAAGGTGGAATAGGTACATTTACTTGTTTTACCTGTAATAGCCTCTGTTCATAAATGTGAATTGTACTTCAGTTGGATGATTGTAACGTGGACACTGTCTGTACTTGTAGGATCCCAGCATGTAAAGGTGAAAGATGTAATAACCATACTTCACCATTTTAAAATAAAAGTAGGATTTCAGGTGCTCTTTTTTCCCTACTCTAGTTTATACAGGAGGGCTACTGTTTTGTATAGTTTTTAAATACACGATTTTTAAAAAGACTTGGATCTTAATATTCACTGAGTACTTTGTTCAACTTAAAGTTTTGGATAATGTTCTCTGAGGTGTGGTCCATAAACCAGTAACACCACCTGGGGGCTTATTAAAAATTCAAACTTTCAGGCCTCTCCTCAAACCTCGTGAAAATCTGCATTTCAGCTGGATCCTCAGGTGTTTCATATGTGCAGAAGTTTACGAAGCAAGGCACTATAGTGGTAACTTAAAAGAAATGAAGCAGAATCTTATAAAATGAGCGTCCTCGGCTCGGCGCCTGTGGCTCAAGCGGCTAAGGCGCCAGCCACATACACCTAAGGTGGTGGGTTCGAATCCAGCCCGGGCCCGACAAACCCCAAAAGATAGATGTAATGTTATTGCTGTAGTT